TTGCTTCAGAGGGTTGTGTGATGTGCGACGAAGCCATCGTCCAAAAACAGCAAAAACGCAACACCGTCAGAGGTGTTGCATACAGGGTTCCAAAGTTGAGGCTACATCGCAACAGCTATCCGTGACATGACGCTGCGATGGTTCAATATTGCCAAGCACAAGGTTAAACACCAGGACCCCTGTGCTAAGGGGAAAGCCAACTTTGAATTAGCTTTAAGTTGTGGCTGCCACCATGGCGCGCCAAAGCGAACAGCCAGGCAAGGCAACAGGTCGCCATTGAGAGTACCCAATAGGACCGTTATCTTTCGGCACGACTCAAGTCGAGCCCAAACACGTTCTAGCCAGCTTGAATGGTATGTTTTATGGGATACTAAACCCGCTTTACTGGCTGATCGGTGGAGCGAAGTGGTTGGCAGAATGGTGCAGCGCTGTGCGGAGGGGAAAATCGCCTACACCCTAAAGTTTCGGCACTTTGCTTCTAGGCCTGCCAAGTGGACAAGCCAACTAAAGCTGGCGTGCGTCCAGCTCTACATCTGTCCGATGTCAATATTGGACCCGTTAAACATGAGAATCTTAGTCGGCTTTGATTGGAGGAACCAGCAATGAGCACACAGGTGGAACTTTCAACAGATAGCTGCCAGATCAGCCAAGTGAAGCAAAGAAGCAATTGAATGAAATTGGCTCACAAAATAAGAAACATCAACTGGACCTAGGTTGCATTGGTCTTTTTCGGGTCACATGATGTGACCAGCTAGGTGCAGGTTCAGGTTAGCGGGAGCTTTCTGTCAAAGCGACAGTGTAGGGGATGGCTGCTGGCGACGCAAGGGTCTTTTGGTCCATGAGCCCAAGCGTCTCGGCTCCACTCGAGACAAGTCGGTGGCGTCACCCTTGCTTTCGAAACCATTCTTCTTGCTTTGGAACATCAACAACCGCACTCTGATGTAACGTGGAGCCCACCCCGCAGGAATTCCCCAATTTCCCCTGAAGGCCACCTTTGGTGTTGCTTCAGAGGGTTGTGTGATGTGCGAAGAAAATATCGTCCAAAAACAGCAAAAACGCAACACCGTCAGAGGTGTTGCATACAGGGTTCCAAAGTTGAGGCTACATCGCAACAGCTATCCGTGACATGACGCTGCGATGGTTCAATATTGCCAAGCACAAGGTTAAACACCAGGACCCCTGTGCTAAGGAGAAAGCCAACTTTGAATTTGCTTCAAATTGTGGCCACCATGGTTCACCAAAACGAACAGCCAGGCAAGGCAACAGGTCGCCATTGAGAGGACCCAATAGGAGTAGTTCTCCTTCAGCACGACTCCTGCCGAGTTGGGCGCAGCGCGGTGCAGCGCGGCGCTCAGCAAAGCGTTTGACCAACGAGCGCTCTGACAGTATCATACCGTATACCCAGTTCTTGGGACAAACCAGAAAAGTCGATTGAAGAACAACGCCGGGAATATACAGTCCTGCGAAGTAAAGCAAGTCGAATCCCGTGAGGCAACAGATGATGACCAGCGCTGCTGCGAAAACGGCCACTTCGATGGCCAAACTTGCAACGTTGCCTCGATTCGGGAACCGTTTTGGCACGCAAAACAACCATCCATTCATGAACTTGATTGAAGAACGGAGCTCTGATATCTTTGGTTGTGACAGTTGTATGTGGTTGTGTCAAGCCCTGTACCCAACGGTCTACTCTGTGACTGACCCAATTCAACGAAGCTAGGTCACAGAGGAGGATTCTTGGACTGATCATCTGAACGAACTTGCGAGAAGTCGTGATGTGATTATATCAACATGTACCCTTCCAAGATGGAGAGTAGAGGGGGGTACCCCTGGATTAGTTTTTAAAATAATCTGACTACCTCCAGAGCGTTTTCAGAAAACTAATCTGGAGGATGTTGAGTCTGGATGGGGTTGTAATTAATCCCGGGGTACGCCCGGACATCGAGCGATGCCACATGCAGTAGGCTCACCAGCCGGTGGTACGTGCGACATGGTTTCCCTGAAAACAATTTCCTTCTTCTAAGTATACATTAGGCATCCGTGTGATCATATTCTTTCACTATAGTATCATATAGTATCATATAATAATGATAATATCATATATTGTGATTGATTGTGGTTATTGTCATTGTGATAGTAGGATCTTTGTTCCAGAATGTTTGAACGAAAAACTACCATCGAGAAAAGTTAATCCAAAGAAATTAATCCAAGACTCAGTAGTCACCGAGGCTAATGTCCCTACATGATTAAACCATATATTGTTTTTCAGGTTCTCTCCGCTTTCTGTTTGCACGGGGCCATTCCGAGGTTTTTGACAGGTCGTCCAACGCAGTGAGGCTGGTCTAAGGCACAACTGTGGAACACCGACTTTCGTTCTTGTGGGTTTCCTTCTAAGTGTGTCCGGTTCCAGGTGCCTGGCCTTCAACGTGTTTGCAGTCGGAAACGGGACGGAACTTGCTTGCGCAAGTGCATGGAGCGGTTCTTGCGCAGTCGGGTTTTCTTTGAATGTGAGCAGTTTCTTTCGCCACGTCGTGTGGACCAGCCGCGGTTGCTTTTTCCGAAAGCACTTGCGAAATCCTCTCCGTAAAGAAAAGCTGCCAATTTCAATTGTCCAATCATTAATCTTCATAATCATCATCATGATCATCATCAACATGTTCATCTTCATCATCATATTACATCATCATCATGATCATCATCAACATGTTCATCTTCATCTTCATCATCATATGACATCATCACTATGACGGTGTAAAGACGCGCGTGATGCCCTGTTTTAACACACCTACAGAAATACTGGTGTTTGGTTTCCAGATCCAGGTGTGTTGATACAGGTGTTTATATAGATACAGGTGTTCGGGCACAGGTGCTGAGATGCGGGTGTAGGGATACAGGTGAAGACACCTAAAAAACTCAGCTACACAGCTACAACTTCGACATCTTTCTAATCTTCTCTTACAAGGCTCCGGGCTGGCCGATGCTTACGAATTCACGCGATCCTGGGCCGACCATCTGCGTGTGGCTGGGCCGACCCTCTGCGGAGATTGTGCGTCGAGTGCTCAAACGTGACGCTGAACGCGAATTTTCGTTCACGTCGGTGGGAAGCCTTTACGGAGAGTGCGTGTGTGTCTGTGTGAGTGTGCAACTGTCGTGGAAAATCAAGGTGGAAGTTGCCAAAGATTGTAACTGTTGCAAAAATTGCCAAAAACTCAAAGTGCGTAGTAGTAGGCGTCTAGAAATGGGAACTGTATACTACATATGTAGTACAGGCAGTGGCCTCAAAACTGGCAACTTTGTAGTGCAAATTATAGCGCTGGCAACTTTGTAGTTCAAGTGTTCTGGGAGCTGTGGCCTCAGTGTAGTACAGATGTAGTACGGGAAGCAGCTTCTGGGAGCTCGAGCTCGGAACTGGGGTGTCTGGCGAGTGGGAGAAGTCAACGAGGCTTGGTGTTGCATTGTTGTATCTAGTCAGTGGCACATAGTGGGGTGAAGTTACGTCTGCTACGTCTCCGTACCATGCGGTTTTGCGCGGGCACGACAGTGTCCTACAAGAATGTCTGTCAAGAGTGTCCCACAAGGGTGTCCCGGCCCACAACACTGTCCTACACAAGGGTGTCCCTGCAAGAGTGTTGTACATGAGCCCGCCACAGGTACATCTTCCGACTATCACTCTACTTTGTCTTGACAGTAGCATCATTGTGATCATCATCAATATTGTCGCCATCATCATGAAGGCCGTCATCATCATCGTCATCATCATCATCATCACCATCATCATCGTTACCTTGCGTCATCTCTTATGCTTTGGGGCCACCCTGTCGTCTAGTTTCTAATTATGTTTCCTTTCTTTAAACTTTGGGAGTGGTTTGGATACTCTTCAGAGAAGGTGCCACATGTACGTGTTGGAAGATGGGTGGGGTGTGATGGGTCAGCGTCCGGCTCGGAAACTAAAAGGTCGGGTTCAGAAACTAGGAACGTGGAGTTCGGAAACTAGAAACGTGGATTCCGGAAACTGGGCACCCTAGGTTCCTGACAAATTCCAAATCTGGATGGTCTTATCTTCTGTTTTTATACAATGTTGGCTTCTGCACCTCCCCAAGTTCGTTCCCTCAACAACTCCTCAACTTGAAGCGCTTTCAGGCTGCTAAGAAAGGTTTGCTCACATAAACATTACGTCAATATCACCCCACCCACCCCCACATACCTGAAGCAATCAGTGGGCCCGAAGAGAAAAATGGGTCTCTGAGTTGGAAACTAGTTTCTGAAACCAACCAAAAAAGTGTCTGAGCCCGAAAAAGGAGTTGCTGAACCCGACAAAACCACTTTCTGAACTGTAGTTTCTGAACCCGTGGCTTTAGTTTCGGAACCCTAGTTTCTGAACCCGGGCCAGTTTCTGAACTTGACTTTGTTCGGGTGACATGGGGTGGGGTGGGGGAAAAATGGTACAAGGGGGAGGATTTGTTGGTGTGTTGCTCGTTATGACTTTTATTAATGTTTACAGTTCACATGTTTTTTCCTTGCCCCACCCCACCCCACCCCACATCAACCACGAAGCATCAACTTCGTGACGCAAGTGCAAGCGAACGTTAACATGCCCCACCCCACCCCAACCCAACCCGACACCACCGAAAATCGCGATTTCCTCTGGGGTCGCTAACAGCGGCGACAGCTAAAACAAGGAAAGGAACAAGACCCAACAATCAAGATTGTAGATTTCAAACAGTTTATGAAGAAACGAACAAACATTGATTCAAGTTCTTGTACTGCTCCATTTGCAAGGATTGAACACCAAATTGATCATGTGTATGAAACCTTTGACAAAAAACCTATGCGTTAGTTGTCATAGACATTGATATTTTTAGTAAGATGGGTGATCTCATACCTATGCAGAACCGAGATGGTGAAACGGTCTTACCAGCATTGAAGCAAAGCTTTAAGAAGATGGGTTTTCCGATGAGTATGTGCAAATATTTACAGTGATGATGACGGAGTGTTCCAGACAGTCGTCTCAAAGTTTTTTAAAGACGAAGGCATCAATCACATCATCACAAGAACACACGCTAATGCCGTGGAGTGTTTTGTCAGCTTGCTAAAGAACATGATGCACAACCACGACAGGGTTAGATTTAACAAGGCAGGATGGACGAGTATGCTTCCGCCAGCTTCCGCGCGTCTTGAAGAAATACACCAGCAGAAAACACTCATTTAAAAAAAAACGAACGAAGCGCGCGATGATACGAACCATATGGATGTAATGGTATATAAATCTGACAAGGAGAGAAAAGAAGACGAGGAAGTATGAGGGGATAAAAGAAAACAATACAGTCAAATTGTCACCCAGGGAAGAGGCAACTACTCCGACAGGAAAGAGTATGTAAGTCGTTGGAACAAAGAAAACTACAAGGTAAAGAAGATTGAATATGACAGCACTGGCAACAGAACCTATTTGATTGAAGGGTTGACTAAGCCAATTCTTCGTCACGAGACTTCAAAGGCCTAAAAGATTGACACCGTCGTGTCTGCTGATGCCATTTCAGATTATATTTCCTTATCATCGACCCGCTAATATTACACGTTGCCTTCATTGCTATTTTGTAATTGTTTTCTTGGTCCCACTGTTCATTGTAGTTTCTGCTATGTTCTTTTTGTTCGCCTTCCATTCTTTGTTGTAAGCATTCAGTTGTGCTTTTCAGTCTCGCCGATATTGTTTTTTGTTTTTTTTCGTGGTTGTTCCTAGCCCATTCTTACATCTGTCCCTATTGTCTTCCTTATGTTCCTCTTGGTCTTGCTTGTTTGGTCCGGGTTCACATGTACGACTCAGACATTGTGAAATCTCGCCTATGACCCTGCGAACAATCACGCCATTGGATCTTCTAAATGGCCAAGGACCCATCGGGGACCTGCAAACACAGTTGGAGAAGAACTAAATTGAAAAAACATGTCTTGGGTCAGTCGGAGCTGCTCACCATTGCATCATGATAGCTCTCACCCAGCTGATCGAAAACGAAGAAGTGCTCCCGATTGTAGCCGAAGGTATCGGTGTGCAGCGTTCCGATAACCAGCAAGTACATAAAAGGAACCATGACTTCCGAAAGCTCTACCTTCGCAATTTCATGATGTCAACGTGTGTCATGAAATTGAAACCAAAATCCTGTTTTGATGAGGTCAGATCTGTTCTGCAAGAATAAGGAAACAAGAACTCAGAAGAGAATCTGGCGGGGCGACCGAGCTACCAAAGCAAAAAGTTTGGCATACCGGGCAAGCTGGTTCAGCAACCTTGCATCTGCGACAGCAATTTCCGCTTCTTGAAGACCCTCCACAGTCTGTGACTGGAACTCTGCAATAACCTCCCGAAGCCTCTCTCGCGTTTGGGCCGCGGAGATCTGCCACTCTCGCATCTGCACTGGAAGAGCACGCAAATGCACACACGCTTGGCGAAGCTGGAGAAACCAAGACTTCCAGTTGGAAGACTTTGTCTCGACCTTGGAGAGAAGGACTGTGAGACTGAAAGGGTGCACGATTGACGATCTACCCACCCTGGGCTTTGGCTTTCATGTTCTGACCATGTGCTAGCTGAACAGTGAGTTTTCAAAAAATAATCACTAGAATCTCTAGAAGTGTCGAACGTGGTGTTCCCAACCATCCATCGCCCCACAGACCCTCAAAAACATAGGGCCAAGCTCTCTGGCACCCTCTCTGACTATAGTCGTTTCTGGGATCCAGACTGTTTCGGCTGCAACAGCAGCGTGTGTGTGTGTGTGTGTCAACCCCTGGGCCAAGGGTTTACCACCACCACCATTTCCACCACAGTTTTGCACGCAGGGGGCCCATGGGCACATGGATGGCATGGGCCAACGAAGACCCATCCATGTTGCCGTGAAAACGTACCTGCGCCGTGACACTACTCCACTCTTCCTTGCTGTGCTTTGATGCCATGGTTGTTGATCACGATACTCTCCCCTCAAACAGGTTTCCCACAGCTGCTTTCAGCCGACCGCGCGAGAGTTTGCCACTGCAGTCACGCACAAACAACTTGTTCAACCTTCAAGTGAACTGACTTTCTCGCCATGCCGTTCCCTCACCATTTTCGACCTGGGAACTGAGTGTAACTGAATACAAGTGTCAAAGTGTGTCACACTCTGTCTCCAAGAGTTTTCCACCAAGCAAGCAGGGGGACTGGAGCCGATTTGCCTATCCAGTCCAACGAAGCTATGGCATTTCGGTGGATGAGCGGTCTGATCAACCACTTGTACCTGCATCGAACACACTGACACCAATGGTCCGCCCTGCCGCTGTTCGTTGGTTCCATGGTTTTTCTTCATGATACCTCCCTTAACATTTTCCCACCGCAGCCTTCAGCCGCTCGTGAGCTGCCATTGAGATTCTGCAGATGCGCATAAACAATTTTTGAAACACCTTCAAGTGCTTGGACGCTTCACCTTCCGTTGAGCCACTCCTTTCCTCGTGGAACAGAGGTAACTGCAAACCCATTATCTAAGTGTGTGTGGACAAGGTGACAAAATTGCGCAAACATTAGTTTCCTTCGGGTGATCCTCACCGTACAAGGTTGGGAGATGACAAACGCCGCCTGATATGCGCGTTGACACATACATATGTTTTCACATCACTGTTCTGAAAACATGTTTTGTGACGTTTAGGGTCTGACTTCGGTCCTGATATGTGTTCTGACATCTGATCCGTCCATTCTGAGATTTCTTCTACCATCAAATATGCCATTTGTTCGGATGTGTGTTCCGACCCAGCCCGACAATTGCTCTGATAATGTTTTGACACGTTCTGACATCTGTTCTGTCGCGCATTCTGACATATGTGCTGGCCTCACGTCTGGCAAGTGTTCCGACATTTCTTCTGTAATGTGTCCTGGCATGCATTCTGACAGTTGTGGCATCAAGTATGGCACGATATGGCATGTCTTCTGATATGTCTTTTGGCTTATGTCTTGGCCGCACCACTCCGCAGGAGCCCAGGGGAGAGGGTAGGGGGAAGGAGGAAAGGAACACAGATACACTTGTAAAAACCTAGAGATCCTTACCCGACAAAGAGGGAAATCACAAAGAACAAGAGTCCACGAGAGATGCGAGAGTCAGATTGTTTTTTGTTTCCAGTCTTGTTTGTTAAATTACTTTGTATGAAAATGTATGAATGTGTTTATAGTTGTTGAATTTTGCTACTTGACATGTTTTTCAGAATCATCAGTTCTGCGCTACTGTAATGTGTAATGTGTTGTCATATTTAAAGCACTCACGCAAGCACCACTTGCAGATTGTCTTCGTTTGTCTCACACAAGACCAATGACCACGATGCGCCCAAGAACTCCAAACACGAGAAAATCGCACAAACAGGCACAAACACGAAGGATGGTGAGTGCAAGTGTGCTCAACTGATGACATTTTCGTTGTTTTTGAGGCCAAGTCCTTCACACTGAGCCACATCCATTTCTTCGCCCCAAAGATGTGGCCCGAAAACCATTTCCCTTCACTTCCACCCATTTGGACTGATGAGATGCACTGAGACAAGTCGCCGACATCGTCGCCGGCATCGTCGCTGTCGGAGACGCTTCTCCCTCCCGAAAGGTTGCCACAAGCTCTCGGCAGAGCTTCAGAGCGACTGCTATCGCCTTTCCTGCGCGAGAAAGATAAATTTCAACGATGGCCTCCAACCTGTTGGAGGCCATCGCTATTAGGTTGGAGGCCGTCGCTATTAGGTTGGAGGCCATTGCTTCTAGGTTGGAGGCCATCGCTAGTAGGTTGGATGCCGTCGCAATTAGATTGGAGGCCATTGCTAGCAGGTTGGAGGCCATTGCTTCTAGGTTGGAGGCCATCGCTGGTAGGTTGGAGGCCATTGCTTCTAGGTTGGAGGCCATAGGTTGGAGACCATCGCTATTAGGTTGGAGACCATCGCTATTAGGTTGGAGGCCATCGTTAGTAGATTGGAGGCCATTGCTTCTAGGTCGGAGGCCATCGCTAGTGGGTTGGAGGTCATCACTTTTAGGTTGGATTTTGCTCAGGGAGTTGCTGGTTCAGGCGCTTGGATCCTGAGTTCAGGCGCTTGGTGGATGATCAGGTCCTCGCAGACCATGTACACAGCCTGATGATCACAACTATAGCCTATAGTTCTATAATTTGGAATTGCGTGCGCTGCGCGCATGCATGCGCTTTTCGTGTCATCAGACAACAGTCGTATCGCAAAGAAAGAAGCATGCCGTGTGATGCAATGCAAAGGACAGCATTGCGATGCTTGGACACGGCAACCACACGTGAAGACGATGTCGCCCACGTGGCTACTACGTGGTCACAAACACACCAGCGATGCACAGCTAGAATGGAGAACTGTGTGCGAAATAGCAAAAGAACGACACCATCGACAATGATTGGTTCGTCAACATCACAGCAAGAACTATCACAGCAAGAATAGTCTGGGAGAACATGCCGTTTGAATGAGAAAAAAGGCCTAAGAACCTGCTGTGAACATATGTGTATTTGTTTTTGGTGATCTGCTGGGACTTGGTCCATGTGTGATCTCTGGTCTTTTGGAACACATGTAGGTCGTCAGGTTAGAACGAAGGCATCGCAAGCGCTTGGAGTGCCATACTTGATGTCACCAAGCTGGCGCACCCTTTCCGAGCCAACTTCTTTAGAATAAAATCCCGTTCGTGGCCTTTTGACCTCAGGACTCGTTCGAACGACGATTCCATCCTGCATCGAGAGCCAACATCGTGACTAGAACCAGCCCGTTTTTTAGCACTGGATAAAAGTGCGGCGGAGAAGAGAAACGCGATGAAGAGAATTTGTATCTTCACTTCTTCAGCGATGTACCTGAGACATGGTCGGCAAGTGCTTGATGGGCAAGGGGAAATTGGTAAAAACAAACACATCCAAAGACCATGATGGTAGGACGCCATCGCTACGAGGCCATCGCTACGAGGGTGGAGGCCATTGCTATTAGGTTGGAGGCCATCGCTATTAGGTTGGAGGCCATCGCTACTAGCGTGGAGGCCAATCACTATTTGGTTGGAGGCCATCGCTACTAGGGTGGAGGCCATCACTATTAGGTGTGAGGTCATCTCTACGAGGGTGGAGGCCATCACTATTAGGTGTGTGGTCGTCGCTACTGGGGTGGAGGCCATCGCTATTAGGTTGGAGGCCATCGCTACTACGGTGGAGGCCATCGCTATTAGGTTGGAGGTCATCGCTACTAGGGTGGAGGCCATCGCCACTAGGATAGTAATCCTTAATTTGGTAGGATCAACCAGGGCCCTTTGCTCCTAGTAGCGTCCTCTACCCCCCCCCTCGCGCGCGCGCACGTCCTTGCTCCCAGTAGTATGGCCAGGAGCCCCTATAGTAGCGTCCTTGCTCCTAGTAGCGATGCCCTTTGCTCCTAGTAGCGTCCTCTGCGAGTACCAGGTCCGTTTTGGGCCGGGCGGCTCAGGAACGCCCAATAGATGTTGCCCAGCTGCCTTCGCTGCCCAACCAACTCCAGAGAGCATACTCATCACGGCCTTGGTGTATCAACGAGGAAACACCTGCCTCCTCAATACGAGATACGAGGCACCCTGAAAACATCTGAAAACTATCAACGCCTGCTTCACTGTAAGTACTTCTCCTCCATCTAGCATATCTTGCCATCTAATATAATCATATCTGTACCAACTAATCTATGCTGTATAGTCTTCTGATGTCTTCTGCATCTCATGGGCAGGCCAATTGCTCATGTTGTGTGAAGGTCACAACAACCCAGCTACACGTCTCTGCGTCAAGGGCTCTGCGTCCATTCCTAGCAGCCGTTGCACCATCTCGGCAACTAAACCGCTTCCCGTCAACACGTGGACTGCTAGTAGCTTGGTGAATATGACTGCACGTGTCGGCTGAGGCCAAGGCAAAACAGCTGATGAACTGAAATGCCACTGACAAGCTCGGAAACATCAGCAGCCAGCCCGTGAGCACTGCAAATTGGATATATATTGTAAACAATCCCAAGAACGCAAACCATTTGAATCTTCGCATCTCCACTGTCATCAGATCCGCCGGGACAAAGGAGCCTCCGGTGTTCGACGCGACCACGCGGTTGATGTTCGGTTTCGTCCAGGTACGCTTTAGAAACGTAGATGGCCCGGTTGGGTGTTAGGCCATCGCGCCAAATGAACGTATGGCCTCACCTATCCCACAGACCACGTTGAGGCGGACGGCCACTTCTCGGCTCCAATGCACGATCCATTTCTTTTGTTTGTTAAGGTGGGTGAGTCCTGACTTCAGGAAGTAGGTAGCAAGGTGCAGGATGCTAAGTTATTTTCGAATTGTCAGAATTGCCACGCCACAAGAAAGATCATGCTTGGAACTGGTCAGTTTCCCAATGTCTTGGTCAATCTCCACTTGGTGTT